GTCCTTAAAAAGGCCTGCCACCCGCCCCATACCTCTCTGACCCTGCCATCCATTACTTTCCCCTGACCCTCTCCGAATCCCTTCCTCCAGCCACACTGGCTTCCTGGATATTCCTGGAAATATGAGGCACAGCCCTTTCTCCAGGCCTTTCCATTAGCCATTCCCCCAGGGAACTCCAGGCTCACTTCCTCTCCTCCTTCCTTTCTTTGCTCAAATGTCACTTTCTCAGTGAGCCCTTTCAGGGAAGCCTTTTTTAAAATTGCACCTATATACCAGCACTTCCCATCACCCTTCCTGTCTTTATTTTTCTCAGTAGTACATACCACATTCTAAAATACTATGAAAGTATTTATTTAGCATCCGTCTTCTCCCTGAATGTAAACTCCATGAGGTCAGGGATTTATTATTATTATTATTGTTATTGCTTTATGTACTGCAGTCTGGCCAACACATGGAACATTGCCTGGTACATGGTAAGCACTCAATAAATGTTTGCTGAATGAATGGCTCTATAGTCAAACATTACCTGTCCCTTCCCATGTGTCTGGCCTCCTAACCACCAAGATATGGCACAGTTATTAGAGAAGGTCTTTCCCAGTGATTTATATTTTTATGTATTTAAAGAAAGGGAATATGAAGCATAGTGGTAGAGCCAGGATCTGAAGGGCAGACAGACCTGAATTTGAGTACCAGCTCCAAAACTTACAATCTGTGTAACCAGGTGGGTTGTATAATCTCCAAGCCTCAGTTTCCTCATCAGTAAAGTGGAAATAGTAAAAGTACCTTTCTTAGAGAGTAGTCATACAATTTTTTGAACAAATAAGCATAAAGCATAGAATTGGGCTTATAATAAAATCTCAGCAATTATAATAATAATTATAATTCTAGTCACCCTTAATGTGCTATTTTTTATAAAATAGTTACAAATATTTACTCTTTTGACCAGGAGATTTAGTGTAAGACGTGAGTTGTTTCTTATTATTTTTATACTTTGAAACACATTGCTATCTTTTAAATATTTCTGTTTTAAAAGACATAGAACTATTATTTATTGAGGTCCTGCTGAAGTGCCAGGCATTCTGCTAATTATATTCTGTTATCTCTAACTCTGAGTCATTTTGTAAGGTCACTATTTTATGTAAGGGAATAGGCCCAGGGTCAAGCAGTGAGTACTCAATCCCAGATTGCTCAGCCTCTGAAATCTACCCCCCCACTTGCTCAGCCTCTGAAATCTACCCACCCCCCCAACACCACCGCACTGGCTTCTCACCATGAGCTTTAATGCCACACCCAGAGCTCTCCAAGTACCTGCAATGTTAAAGGATGAGAAGAGTGTGGTGTAGCTCAAGTAAGGGGTTTAGGAGGTTTTGAAATTGTAGATGAAGCTGAAAGACTATATGCCATGCCATACAATGAGGATTTTAACCTAAAGACTCTGCAAAGATGTCGAAGGTTTCAAACTTGAGAAGGTTTAGGGAAAAGTGTAAAATTATAGAATTTAGACGGTTCATGTCGCCGACCACAGTTCAGTCTTAGACATGACTGCAAGAAGAATAGATTTTAGATTGGGGAAAAAAATCAGTATAAATTAAAGCCATGTTAAATAGCAGTTTGGTCTATCTTAGGCAAAAGCCTTTTTTTTTTAATGTAAGCATCGTTATATTCCACACCATGTCTAACATGGCCCCTAAAAATTATATTGCTCACCCATTTCAAGTTACAGAGAAAATATTTTTGTTCTACTTATGCAGATAAGAGGATATTTTTGCAAATTATGCTATACTACTGGAACTTAGAATAGCAACATGACTAGGAAGTGGCTTTAGAAGGTGCTCAAGCTATTTTTGGTGTGGTAATGTCTCTGGCGCTTTAACACCCCATTCCAATAGCAAAGAGTGACAGAGAGATGGGGTGATGGATGGCTAATATTGGTTTTCCCTAGGAATGGTCTTGAGAAATAATAAACTAAAGGTAAGAAAATATGGATCACCTACAGCCTCTTCTGCAGAGGGTTGATACATGTATTAGTGTCTTAATGAAACATGGAAAACGTCAAACACTGAGAATCAGTTTTGTTTCTTTGGAGTCCCTCGGTATTGCAAAATGGTTATGTGCTCAGCTACTAACCAAAAGGTTGGCAATTCAAGTCCACCCAGAGGCACCTCAGAAGAAAGGCCTGGCAATCTACTTCTGAAAAAATAGGGTCACCATGAGTCAGAATCAGCTCAACAGCAAATGATACCGGTTTGTTTCTTTAAGATCTTTCAGCCAGTCACTGACTCCATATCTTCTTCTGTCAGCAGATAAAGATACAGTAATGAAGAAGGTAGCAATTTGGGAGACTTTCCATGGTGCTGAGTAAAAGCATTAAAAACCTCTTTATGCAATTGGATACAATTTCTGTTTTTAAAAAAATCAAATAAAGATTTTCATTCTCTGATTTTAAGAGTTTAAAGTAACAAAAAAAATTGCCATAGATACTGATCTCTGGAGTTTCTTCTTGTGTTTTGCTTCGGAAGAAGTGGTGCAGATTTGATCTGACTGAATCTATTACGCATTGTTGATCACTTGGGTACAAGTAAAACCAAATCAATTGAAATACAATAGTAATTGAAATAAGGCCAGTGAAAATGAGGTAATGGAAATGCCAAAAAGCTTTATCACTATATAATCCTTTTACTGGGTTAGTACTAATATGAAAGTACATGTATACATTGTTGTTGGGTGCTGTCAAGTCTGTTTCTAACTCACGGTGACCCCATGTGACAGAGTTGAATCTCCCCATTGGGTTTTCTTGGCTATAATCTTTATGGTGTGGGAGAAAGATATGGCAGCCTGCTTCTGTAAAGACTACAGTTTTGGAAACCACATGGGGCAATTCTCCTCTGTCCTATGGGGTCGCTATGAGTGGGAATCAACTTCACAGAATTGGGTTTTTGGTTTCAGTCTTTATGGAAGCAGATCGCCTGGTCTTTCTTCCGCAGAGCCGCTGGGTGTGTTTGAACATTCAAGGTTTCAGTTAGCATCTGAGCTCTTAACCATTGCTGACCTCTTAACCATTGAGTCACCAGGCTACTTACATGTATATGAGGGAAACTAAAGAGATTCCTAAGGGAGAGTGTGAGAGTTAAGCTTCTCCTTTAAACAAGTGTTTCCAAAGCCAATCATTTAGTCTTACGTTCTATGTATAGTGGGAAAAAAGGAGTTACTACTTTGACATGAAATTCTGTAGTCAATATGGCTATAATTTTTTCTCTAATGTTACAAGTAAATATGTTTTATCTTCCAATCCTTTTATAAACTACTTGAGGTTGTAGTTTATGTTCTCTGTTCTTTTGTTTATACCATAACTCAGCACAAAGCTAGGCAGAAAGGAGATACTAAACATGAGCTTAAGAATAAATGAGGTTTGAAAAATTGTTTCAGTCTGTTTTTTATGCTAGAACCTGAATTTTATGGGAGAAAGTAAAGTTGCTCATGGACAAAATCAAACCTATTACAGTGTGTCTTAATGAACAAAATATTCTTTTTTGAACACTATCTTCCATGGTATTTGTGAGTTGTAAGTGGAGATGGTTCAAGTAAGGCAAGAGGAATGAAGAAGAAAAAAAAAGAAACAATAATACAGATGTTAAGCTAGAGGTAAAATTTTCACCAGATCTCTAAGACTTTCCGTTCTCTATTCTTTATTGAAAATGATTCCCAAGACCAGAAATTATGAAGGCTACCATAATGCTAAATTATGCAATTATCCTGGGGTGTATGAGGCCACTGAACTAATACACTTATATTAAATTCTCTTTTTTAATGTAAAATTAATAAGTTAAAGGTGAGTCAAAGTTTGTACAGTTCATTTTAAGAATTGAAATATCGAAAGTAAATACGAAACTGTATGGGAATACGTAGCTTATCTGTCACTGGTAGCTAATGAATTCCTTTCCATTAAAATTTAATTGAAAATCTTCATTGATATTTAAGCTTTCACAGAAGTGTAAACTACTGTGACTACAATTCACAATGCATTTAAAACAATTATTCTTTATCATTAAAGTTAATAATATGCACATTAACCTCTTATGTAGTCTAAATCAATATTGTAGTTTAAAAGATATGACCTCTGGACAGCTTTGTCTAAATATTGATTTCATTGTCATTTGTATAAGGTATCAAACAAATTACATGTCGCACTAATATCATTAATGCTGCCCCATAGAGCCTCTGACTTTATGGTGCTTATAATATAAGACATGACATTACAAAAATATTAAGGCCATCACCAAATATAATTGCCGAGTGGACGAGATCTGACTATGGCAGCGCAGAGTGGCTGTAAACAGATGATAACTTCCAAATTCTTTACTCTCAGTGGACAGAAAAAAATACTTCTCTTTAACATGCAGATTGGTTGTTGATGTTAAGTTTCAATGACAGATTTTTTTCTGCCTCGGAGGAAAAAAAAACCTTCTTGTGATGCCATAGATATTTTGGAAGAGAGTAACCCAATCTTAGTCATTAGATTAAAATGTTGTAATTACATAATATAGCAGTTTCCCCAAAATAAACTTGTTCAGGAATTCATATTAAAAGTTACTAATGAATCAGGTGGATTAAAAAATATATGGATAAAAGTAAAAGGGCTGAGCTTTTCAAATGGTCATTGTAGAATTAAATAAAAACAGATTTAGTGATGGTTATGCATCACATTTCCTCTCATAACGGCACTTACATTATTGTTTTTGTAAAAAAAATTACAGATTGAAATGTCAGCTATATACTTCGCTCTTTTCCTTTTTTTCAGATTCTACATTGCTAGGAATCATGATGACTGTAAACATCATCCATTACATCTAACTATTTTGATGTTTGTTTTTTAATTTTAAAAATTTATTTAACTTTTTGCTTACTAAAAATTTTTTTTGGAAAAGAGATATGGGCAGGATCATGAAACTGAACTGTGGGTGCTGTTTGTACTAAAAATGTTCACCCCAAATCTCTTGTAGGTAAAAGTGATCCATTTTGTGTAGTAGAATTGAACAACGATAGGCTGCTGACACATACAGTCTACAAAAATCTCAATCCTGAGTGGAACAAAGTCTTCACGTTGTAAGTAGCCGTTACCTTGAGCTTATCTGAAAAATGGTGTTAAGTGATAGTTATTTTTGAATTTTTTTCATATTTACCCTTAACTGATTAATAACTCAATGCATCTGGCCTTCCTTTTGCTAACAACAATGAATTTCATAACTGCATACCTTCCTGACAATGAAACCTGGGGAAAAGAACATGCCATTTTGTTGTTGTTTTCACAGACTTTTTTAGTTTTTTTTGAATTGTACTTTTTATATGATTTGACTAAGGATTTTTCTCCCATTAACTGAACTGCTTCTTCCTTTTATACTTTCTGTTGAAATTCTCCCCAACTGCATTGACACCAAGGAGGACAAAGCTCTATTTGTTCCATTGCTGAAATCAGCAAACAATCTGGTCACGAATTCGGCAGATGCTTTAGTTTTGGTTTGTTTCATTTTAACACAATAAGAATATGAAGCATTGTCCTAGATACCAAAACACCCTTTGAGTTAATATTCCTTTTGTTTTAAAAGGTTTGTAAATCTTTTTAATTCTGAGCTATAAGAGTTGACAATGCTACACTATAGGACCTAATAAGTTTAATTTTTTTAACTGGGCTTTAGAAATGGACTCTGAACAAAAGAAAACTCTCCAAACAGAAGTACTTCTTAAAAGTTTTACTAACTTTTTATTTTTTGTATGGGAAAAACTGCTAAATTCCTTGTTAATTTCTTATTATAATTTATCTGCTTGAGAGCCAGTAACTATCAGCTTTAATTATCAGACCATTTTTTTTTTTTTTAAAGAAATTCCACATTTTTATAAGAGATGAAAGCCTGGTCAGGAAAATTGCCCTCCTAAGAAGTTTGTGGAGAGTGTTTTTCTCTGGAATGCATAATTGAATGAATAGGTTTGATTATTATCAAAGCCATTAATTGATTGTGCTCTGATAAAGCCTCTTCTCACACATGGTTGTGGTTTTTCAGTAATGAATATATTCATTTTTTGGTTTTCTCTTAATTCATGTTTTCTTGGTAAACAATTTGACCAAAGAATAAATGCTGTCAACAATTTCAGCTTATTTTTCCAAAAACAAAAATATGAAGAGAGTACACAGTAGTTTATTAACATACGTTGTCTTTGGAACATAATGGAACATCGCTTAATTTCTAAATCCCAGAGTGATACAATAGCTATAAATGTTACATTTTCTCCATTTGGCTTTCTGTATTAGTTAATTTTGACTACAAACCTAAGCAAACTTAGGCAATGTTTTGTTGAGAGCAGTACACAAAAGGGAGACCTCTTATTATAAAGAAAAACGATTTAAAATGTACTTTGACTCTTGCTGATATCAAACCTGGTGGTATTTTACATAGGGGTGATGGGAAAATAGGAATTATTGTCATGATGAGAAGAAGGAAAAGTCTAAAAAAATTGGTGCCACTTACTGATTTTTTTACATAAAAATTTATTTTGTGCCCATCCAGATGGAAAATTATAAAGAGAGAAAAATTATATTTCATTTAAAAATTATATTTCATTGAAATTATAATGGTGTTCAAAGTCCAGTTGATGGAACCATCACTGTAGTCTACTAAGATGCTTTATGGGAAATTATGTCAGATACCAAGCTACCTTGTATATGTGTGTATGCAAATAGCATACACGAAAACACATACACACAAAATCAGCTGGTGGTATCTAAATTTTCAAAACCGTTTTTGTTCCTGTTTCGCACTAATGAAGTCTTTTTTTTCCCACTACATATACTTATTATGCAGCAACATTAAAGATATCCATTCAGTTCTTGAAGTGACAGTTTATGATGAAGATCGGGATCGAAGTGCTGACTTTCTGGGCAAAGTTGCTATACCATTGCTGTCTGTAAGTTTATTCACCTGACACACTGCTCTGTGTTGCTTTTACTCAAGGCAAAAAAAAAAAAACCCTCAGCTCTACGTCTGTCATTTCTCAACCAAGGTCTGTAATACGAACACTAAAAATTTTAACATACTCAATTCACGGCCATGTTGAATCCCATGATAGTTAATTTTTCCTGACAGACTTGATCCTGGTAATGAACAGGTACTTGTCAGAATTGCCACAGTTGTTTTGGGTTCTCTGTCAGTTTCAGCAGCTGGGGGTCAAAGGTCACCGAGGGAGTGTATTCAGTGGAGACCGTGAGACAGACGGCTGTCATGTCCTTTTCCCGCAGATTCAAAATGGTGAACAGAAAGCCTACGTCTTGAAAAACAAGCAGCTGACAGGGCCAACAAAGGGGGTCATCTATCTTGAAATAGATGTGATTTTTAATGCTGTAAGTCTTAACTTTGGCTTTTTTGTACTGCTAAAGAGTTCAGTTTCATGAAAGCTTTTGTTCCTGATTTGTAGAGAATTTCTGTCATTCCTCATTTTCTCTAAACCTTGATATATCCTGGAGAATACGCTTCTGCCACTGCCTGGCACACCCACACTTTCTGTTATACTTGGCAACTGCCGCTGCGGCTGTGCTGTGGCCACAGCCTGCCTGTGTAAGAAATGGAAGCGCATGCATGTGCAACTGTATACATTTATATTTTATGAGCACAGCAGCCAGGACTTTAAAACTTTAGAAATGATTGCAAATTGAACTGAGTGAAAAACTTACAAACATTTGTACTATATTAATCCATAACAGACACATGTGTTGATATATAGGTGAAAGCCAGCTTACGAACATTAATACCCAAAGAACAGAAGTACATTGAAGAGGAAAACAGACTCTCTAAACAGGTAAAAAAGCAAATAAAGATTAATCCCTCTGGGAAGACCTGATTATATCTGTAAAACATCTAAGTAAGTTCAAATAAACTTTGGAGGTATGGAGGGGGGGGAAGACTATGGAATTTTTGATCATCTACTTATGCAAAAATGGCTCTTTTTTTCTTTCTTTCCTCTTTTCTTTAGAAGATCAAACAAAGACAATACCAAACTAATAAATTGGATGGGGGTGGTCAGAAAGGAAAGGGGATACTGTAGGCACTGCAAATAATGGATATGTATTCATGCGTTAGCAAATGAATGATCATTTTGACATAAAATACATTTGATTGCCATGGAATGTGTAAATGAGAATACCAAAAGCTGAGGTTCAAGTATATGTCCAGACCACCCACAGGTATGATGCAGGTGTGTGTAAAGGTAACCCAGCATCAAGCTCTTCCCTATAATCCTGATGAGAAAGGGCTCCATCTTTTAAAGAAAACCATCCTGTTAATTAGATTTTAATTGTGGTCTTTTATAAGTGAACTTTTATTGACATCTTTAGATAAAAAAATAGAAAATTAGAAAACTGATTTTTCTATCACAAAGGAAAATCACTTATAATTTTTAGTTAGGTTTGACATCAAGTTAAGAAAAAGTACTAAGCAGCTCCTTTTTTAACTTCCATTTAGCAGAGCTAAAATAAAATGTATTTGTTATGGCTATAAAGTTTACTGTCCTTATTTGTCTTGAAATATTTAATAATTTCTTGTGCTATTAGAAACCTAAAAATATTTTTGTTTTTAATCTAATCAATTAGCCATAAACAGTGGCAGCTTTGGTAATTTAAAGACAGTGCATGAGTTACAAATGCAATCTCTATCTAAATGTAAGTATAGATTTTGTTTCTCCACAACAACAGATAAGTAATAAAAGTAGCTTTTAAAGGAAAGTGATCAGGGACTAAGGAGGAAAACAAATAGGAGACCCTTTACTTTGCCCGAAAGAAATTTCAATTATAACAACTTATTAAAACTGGCATGCACACACATGCATATATATTTACACATATATATTTTTTGCATATGATCTCAGTAAACTTTACATAGTTATTTTTTTAAATGCCAAATCAACGCTGAAGTATATTAACCTGCAGATATATGATTATTCTAATTATTAATATAGCTATATATTATTTTTCAAATCACCATTTACTGCATGGGCTATTCTTTTAACAGTTGTATCATACCTTATTTTTAAAATTTAAATTATATCAATTATTATATATAGATTTTTATTAAAAGATTTTATAAAGCACTTGATTACTATAAATTTTCCCTATCTCTAAAATTATGAGAAAATATGTTTACATTGATACTGAGAGATATTGAGAGATAGATGATAGATAGATAGATAGAAAGAGAGAATATAATAGTAAGAAAAAGGGAAGGTGGATCCTGCCAAATGGTGGAATTTTTTTGTTTTCTATAATAAAACAACATTTCATGGGTTTTTCCCTAAGATCCTAAATAAAAACATTTCCAAGTTATCCATTTCACGTTGGAATATCTTAAAATTAAAGCATTTGCTGCATGTTAAAACCACAATAAAATCGAAGCGTTTAAAATATATTTAGGTTCACAATATGTAAGTAGCCAAAAAATGTTTTAATCTATTAGAGATTAATTTTTCTTTTGAACAAAGGCAGTCTAACCTACATGATAATATTATTGAAAAATACATTTAGCTAAGAAATCACTCTTATAATTCAGTCCCTTCTACTTTCTCCAGTGATATTTCTTTAACTTGTGAGCCAAACTGATTTGTATATTCTTGCAACTTTATTAGCTTTCATAATCATTTTGAAATCACAGTAAGCTTGAAGAATTTTGCTGTGTATCTGACGGTTTTGGGTCTTGCAAATTCTAATAATATTTTAATTTTCTTTACAGCTGTTGCTAAGAAATTTTATCAGAATGAAACGTTGTATCATGGTGCTCATAAATGCTGCCTACTACGTTAATAGTTGCTTTGACTGGGATTCACCTCCAAGGAGTCTCGCTGCTTTTGTGGTATGCTCATACTGTACTACTTACATTGTTATTCATTAAATTCAATAATCATAGCTGCATGTTTCTGTGGCTATAGTAACAGTTATGTTGATGTGGCCATTTTAAAACTCCTATTTTAAGACTTGACTGGACAGATTTGCCGTGGGCAGGAACCTGATGGATTGTACAAGGTCTGAGTCCAAGAATACATTTTTCCCTCCTCAGATTTCCGGAATGCAAGACATCTCAGCCAATGTATAATTTTCTCTGTGACGGCTAAAAACTAAAATTTTACGTATTGCGTAATTCCAAATCCCAATAGGAAAGCCAAGGAAAGTCCTTAGTGTTAAAAAAAATTAATAATCTTGACCATCTCAATTTGATTTTGTTTTGTTTTGTTCCATAGTTAGTTTTTCAAAATATGAAAATCATTGGCAGTAAGATGCTAGTTTGCTAATGCTTTCATATGTGAATCAACGGGAAGTGGATGTGACCTATTTAAAAGACATTTTATTATTTCTTTGAGATTTCCAGTTTTTAAAAAGGCACAGGTGAGGATTTGGCGAAGCCAAATGGTCCTCTCACAATGTTCATCTTGTAGCCTTTAACTCTGGTTATTTAACAACTGCTGATGAGACCAACTTGCAGAGCTAGACAATCCAAAAGAATACCTTTCTCTGAGTTTTAGCTGGGATTTTCTGCTCTCACGTTATTTTTACTTATTCAGGATTTCAATCTGAAGTTTAAGTGGAGTCCTTCTTTTGAAATCCTTTATGTTATTTTCGTGCTTGTTGGAATATGAGTACCTTATGCTTCCTTATAGCTGCTAGTTTAGCAGAATACGACTTTATTATGAGGGCTTATAAGGAGCCTTAATTGTAGTAACAAATCAAGGTTTTAGTATTACCATTCAGATGAGCATATGCACATCTGTTTAGTACTTTGAGCTCTGCCCTCCTCTCAGGCCTTGTATAGGACTTTCATTAATGTCTGAGCACAAAGAACAAAGAGTGTGTATGTCCTTTTGTGTTGTAAGTTACCAGAAAGTTAGGCAGCCTGCTTCCCATAGACATGCTGTTGTCTTCTTAAAGAAAGCAATTGTCATCATAATTAAGTTTTAGAAAAGAAAATCTGCCTCTCTCCGTATTCTTTTAGTAGCTCTTTCACATAACAAATGTATGTTGGTACTGTTAAGCAAACTTTATTCTGATTTTTTACTAGCATAGAGGTACTTTGACTTAATGATAAAAAATTATATGGAGTTTCTATGTATGTTTTATGCCATTACCTCTAGGTTTCATGGGGTCTTATAATAGACACAATTATATTCTACGAAAAAGGTTGTGCTGCCATCTTTGGTTCACTTCTTCCAAAGTCATTCCCCCACCTGTTTGTGACATTTGAAAACAGAGAAATGTATATAATTATATCATTTGTTCAGGAAGACTTAAGCATTGCAGCGTGTTGTATAAGCCTTCATAAGCTTTCTCTCTGACTTCTAGAGGTCATTTATATAAAATAAATTCAAGATGGCAGCCCTTTTCACAATTTCCTTCTTATCCTAAAGAAAAAAAAATCCCGCACTGGAATTTTGAGAAACTTAGGAACATGTACATTACCTGAGTGATTTTACTATAAAACCCATTGCTGTCAAGTTGATTCTGACTCCTAGTGACCCTAGAGAACAGAGTAGAACTGCACCATATGGTATTACTATAAAGGGGTCAAAATTCACTGGGGAATAAATATAATAATACCTCTTTTAGCTGGTGGTCAGTTTCTGACAAATTCTGTCCTATGAAACAAAGCTGCGTGCAACAAAATTGCAGGAAAAAAAGAGCACAATAAGGATAGGAAAGGGGGTTGTTGACTCTGCTGATGAAAATAGAGGCCACAAACTATCATGAACTCATATTTTTAAGAGTACTTTTGAAAAGAAACAATAAGATTAGCTGTGCTTCATTGAAAACAAAAGAAGCACTGAATTACATTCCACTGAATGTGATTAAAACAACGACTAGCAAAAAGTAGACTTCATTTATTTGTACCTGAACTGGGAGTCCAATAAGAATTGGGACTCTACCTTTTTTCACCTTGATACTGCAGCATCATCTGCAGAGTATCTAGCACTTAGTAGGCTCTCAATAGAAATGGCTGGCTACATCAATCAGCCAATCTATGAATCAGTCAATCACTCTGGAAGTTCTTCTTATGTGGAAAAACTCATTCTTCAGTGATGCTAGATAAATAAAGATTTGCTCTAACAAAGCTAGTTATTAACGATGATAGACATTGGTTCTACTGTGGCACATATGGGGTTGACATGAGTCAATTGGAAAACTGGAAAGCAAGAAGACATTGGTTAATTTTCCCTGGAGTTGCCATTTAAATTTTAAACTATTTTATAATCCGTTGTCAATCATCTATCTTAAACTCAGATTAAGTTACGATGTAAAGATTCTTATATAATAATAATAACAACAACTAATATTTATTAAGCACTTACTATATGCCAGGGGACTATGAAGTCCTTTTCATGCATTAATACATTCAATATTCCCACTAACTCTATGGGAAGATACTATTATTTACCCATTATACAGAGAAAGAAACTGAGGCACAGAAAAGCTAAAGACTTTGCACAAAGTCACACAGCAGATAGGATGCTATGATTTTCTTTCTAAAAGAACTTTAAGATATTTACCTCTTAATTTTAATATCATAACATTTCAGGAAAAAAAAACTATTGTGGGATTTTTATTCATCTTGCAGATACTAAATGATATGAGTATTTAAAACAAAATTTTCCCAAGATCTCATTGCATAAATTTTAGGTCAGCTTATTGAAAAGAACTGCTTTCCATTAGGAGAGAGTATGAGCAGCACCCCATTATTGCAAACATATTGTTCTCATCATTCCCTGTTGATGGATCACGGATCTATTATTATAATATTGGCTCCACTTGGCGCATTTTTCCATAAATGCAGCTGCCTCATGGAGCACATGCATTTGTGCCATTATTTGGCTTGGTTTTAGGCTGAGAACAGTAAACTTTATAATTTTTAAGTGTCCTTTTTCTATTGCATTTTATTTTTCTTTACTTATTATCTGAAAATAAATACGGAATAATGAAATCAAAACGGAAAAACAGTAATTTTTCATCCCAATGTCAAATAAAGCACAAGAAATGAAGGGTTAAAAGCTGCTTGGCCTCTGTGGTGTGGGGAAGACTCAAAGCTGGCTGACAGTATTAGAGGCTGAAATCTGTCTGGAAGGTGATGGATAAAATATAAGCAAACATGTTTCTGGTTTGTGTGCTATGAATTGGGTTTTTTAATTTTACAATGAATTGTTGTATGCCGAAGAGCCTACACAGACACGTGTTACAGAAGGAGCTACTCGCCTTTTGAAATCATCTATTGGAGACGTGGAAACGTCTCATAAATTGGGCCTAATTTTCATCGGGCTCTTGACCAGACATTTGTGTTCTTGTGGATGTCAGTGGGTGCAACATGGAATAAAAAAGAGTGCATATTCTCTCTTTCCAGTACTGTCATTTCTCACTGTAATGAGCACAAAAATAATTGGACAACTGAGCTATCTGTAAAAGGACACACTTCAGTGTTCGTCAAAGAATTATTTTACAGGACAAACTTTAATCTTTAAATGTGATTGTAGATAATTTGTGGTACCATCTGTCCATTTGGAATTGTTTTAGCCTTTTCTGTCGTTATACAGTAAGTGCCGCTGTGTTTAACATTAACATTTGATATTTTACACATTTAATTTCTGTTCTGCTGTGTGGTCCTTGGGGAATGGAGTGCTAGTGCTCCATGAGAGAGACAAGGTATTGATCAGTTAACATTTCAGCTGCATTTATGTATGTCGCAAAATTAATGAAAATGCCAGACAAAAATGTCAGAGTGCACAAAAAGGTAGAATTTAAATTTGGTAGTTTAATGAAAAGTTTAAGATGTGCATTATCAAAAATGTCCTCTTGCCTTTAAAGTACAATTCCTAACAGAATAACTACAGGGAGACATGTATTTTACTTAGAGGAACAATGAACATGAATTATGAAGGGATGTCACCTCCTCAAGGTACCTGTGTTCTAAAACGGCATGTTTGAATGCTTACCTGATACTCATAAAATACATTTGTTTCTGTTCATATCTGGAGGGCTACTGGCTTCATCCCTCTGTCCTGACCAGACTACGAGGCAGGCTTCCTACTGAGATTCTCTCCCTGGTTTTTCCTTGGTGTCCACATACTCCTTTTGTGTCCAAACTGGGAATTCCCTCTACGGCAATTCATCGAGCCACCGTGGTTCACTACTCCTTCTTTCTGGGTCCTTTTCAAATGCCTAGTTTTCCTTTGCTTCCAGATAATTTGTGCTCCACCTTCATTCATTCCACGTCTTAAAAGGATCACACTCGGGACAACAGCTACTCTCAGCAAACCTGGGCCATTATGCAGGAAAAGAGAAAAAGCAGAGATGATGTATGCAAATAATGACATGAGGCAGCTCTGTGTAGCCAAACGATAATAAAAAATTAAAAACGGAGGAAGCACAAGCAAAAGAGGAGAAACCTAATTTGCAGGGGCGATGGGAATATAGCACAACAATCTGAAGACAATAGGCTCTTGAGGACACTTTCCTGCGTGTAAAGCCTGCTGCTAATAACAACATAGGAGTTTTCCCAAAAGTTATTACAAACAATAGGAACATTTTAGTGGCCTTCATGCTTAAGGACTGAAAAGGGAGCATTACTTAAGAAGAAATATCAACACAAAAACAAAGGCATGTCTACATCACGTGTATTTCAAGTCTTAAAATTCATATTACTGAATATAAAATAATTGTACTGGATATATTCAAGGCCAATTTACATTTAAACAGAAATGTCTATTTTGGAAGTTTAAGAGATATCAGTAATACCACACCAGCACAATTCTGCTTCGAGTCTACGGCAATTTTCAAGTGATTTTTGTAAAAAGTTTTTTTTTGTTGTTGTTGCTA